AAATACATACTGATTATGACAACAGGAATTAAGTTTCCTGGATGTTTCCTCCTGTTAAATCACAATCCAAAAGCTTTTCATATTTCTTCAAAATACAGATTGATCTTTAAAATATTAAAATATTGATCTTTAAAATATAGGCATTTTAAAGATAAATGTTTATCACAAAGGTGCACTATTTCTCTAATTACTATAGTCCAAAGAGTCTCAGTGTTCAGAAATATCCTTTCTTACTAATAAAGCCAACAACATTCAGAACTACAACTTGATGAAATCAGAACACATATAAAATGACTCAGCCAATGTCTGGTCTCACAGCATATAAAAACACAAAAGCTAGGCTATTTGGTCTGTGCCATTTCTATACCTAGCACATGGACCAACTTGTTTAGTATATGTTCTGCCAAAGCAAGCATGCACACGGACTAAGTAAGCAGCTACTTTCAAGACAAGGTACTAGTCTGGTTTTCATTACACCTTTTCAGCTAAATCAGATGAAATCTTCTTTATGACTTTGAAAAGCACCACCGGGCCAGTTATCTCAGATTAAAAACAGAGCGAGGGAGAAAAGAGACCGAGGGCAGAGCAGGAGATGGAGAACAGGGGAAGAGAGAGGAAAAAACTAAAGTTTCATATCAGTGAAATTTTGATTCAGGTAACTTTTGATAGAGGTATTAACTCTGTAATAGAAAATCTGAAGTTATGGATGTGATAAAATTAAAACCAGTATTAGAATAGTCAAAAAATTCTTTTTCACAAAACAAGATGTACAGATCTATGTATATGCTCTGAGACACTGCCTAAAGAAAAATACTACCTTGAACTAGAGTTCTTCACCTAAAATTCACACAAGCTGGTGCATGAAATCCCAGCACTGTGACATTTTGTTCATCAGTGTGTGTTTGTGCACGCTGTGGGAAGAAGCGCAGATACAGCTGGGCCTAGGGATGTGCTAGTCCCATGAGGGAAAGATGTAGATTTTTCCTAGAGCAAGACAGTCCCATAAAGAAAGCATTCCAGCATGCCCCCTTCTCATTGCCAAGAAAAACTCTATAGAAACACGTTAGGAAAAAAAAAAAAAAAAAGATTCTCTATAATGAGTTGTATACAACTTTTACACAAATAAGTGATTCCTGGGCTCTGTATTGTTTTACATGTATATACCCTAATCCAGAAAATTTATACTTATTCAGATGGCTAAGGAAAGGCTGCTCAATTTAACTTGTAAGTTGCAAATTACCAAATACATAACTTTAAAATATCTCTGAAACCTAATAATTACTTTTCATGTTGAAATTATGATGAGAATAACTTTTTTTGTTTTGTGACACAGGGTCTCACTATGTAGCACAGGCTGCCGAGGGTTTTCCATAGTTTGTAGGTCTCGGGGACGTTAAGCTTCTAAAATGACAATGCTTCCCCCCTGAGAGCCAAGTGCTACAAGATAAGCAAGAGCTGGGGGAGATCTCATAGTCTACACTAAAACTCTTGCTGTGTCATTTTCGCTTCTCTGTACTGGTTATATAGGGCCAGCTCATTTTCAGGGAGTAGCAAACAGAACAGCATGAATTCCAGGATGCAAGGCTCATTAAGGAGCTACATCTGCAGACAAGCTACCAGGAAGAACGATGCTTCTGTGTGTCCCTGCCAGCATGTTTTCCAGCCATATGTAACTATGAAAATTGTGAGTGCAAAATATAATAGAGTTTTAATATCAAATTTCATAAATGGAAAGTATATAATCATTATCTTTACTCATAATAAATAAACGATATTGAATGCTTATTTTTAGCCAAACAATTCTAAGATCTTTACAACTATTAATATGCCCAATGCTCTTAACCCTGTGGATGGATCCTGTATCATTCCTTTTTTGCAACTGAGCAAACTGAGAAGCAGAGTTTAAGAAAGCGCACAATGCACACAGCTAGGATGCAGCAGAGGCAGGGCTATGGACACAGCCATTCCACTTTCTGAGGGTGTCCAATGCTGCTTCTTCAGGGCTAAGGCAAGTGGGGACTCGACAGGCACTTGAAGGTTACTGTAAGTCCTTACCTTCTTTTTTTACATATGAGTGAACTACTGTGTACTATTAAAGTTCAGGTGCTTTGGGGTTGACTGGAAATCTCAAACAAGTGAAAATGAAAATTTTGATAAATTTGGGGAAATCAAATTACATTTCTGCAGAGGAAAACAAAGTATCTATTAATATGCACTCTAATTATAGTCACAGTATCTAGAACTGCAGGTGCCTTAGAAATCACTTGTGACCTGCCACATTAAAGGTGATTTTGTAGAGACCATAGATTTTGCTGAAAAGTACAGTTGGCAACAAACTTGGGAATGAAGAATAGAGCGCTCCAGAATCCTCGTCCACTAACCCTCATCACGTATGTTCCCAAGTCTATGTGTTTTCAATCTGATTTATCTGGTGACCATTATCCATTAATAACTTGTATTCAGAAATGGTTTACCTATTTAGCTCTGTAATTATTAAATAACAATTCTAAAATTAAATTTTGCTTTTTCTCAAAATTTCTACAGTAGAAAGAAGTTCTTTGTAGTCACTGATCTGTCATTTATGCTATATTGAATTAGGGTCTTACATTGAGATAGGAAAAAATATCCCAAATAAATGTCATCCATTCAGGAACAAATTATAAGTGTGCCACTCCTGGGACCACAGCCTCCCTCTGCTGCCTGGTGACACTGGAGACCTCATAAGGTTACCTCTGTATGGACCCCTTCCTGGCAACTTGCCCAGGTCACACTGCCTCTGGGCATCAGTGAACACATTCACACCACTACACTGTAATCAGCACTGGTAATAAGCATATTCACTCATTTTCTTTCTTTTGTGACTATGATGTCCTTTTCAAAATAAACTTTTTACATACATGTTTATATTCCTGATATCATGTAAACCATAGAGCACTAATAATTGTAGAAGTGTGTGTATGTGTGTGCGCGCTTGCATGCATGCATGTTCACATGTGTGTGTGCAGGGCTAGGTAAGACTTACCAGAAGGCCATAAAAACTAGAGGTTAAAAAACCCCAGCTCACAAGCTAAGAAAGCTTACATCTTAAAATTGTTACACAGTATAAATACTGCATCTACATAGTATTTTTGATTTTGTCTACTGGTGTGCAAAGCCTATACTATTTACTACATGGTGCTTTAAGAAAAAGTTTGTTGATTCTTGATATAGTATTTCACAAAGGACAGTAATTAAATATATATAGAGTTAAAACACTACAGACACTCCTTGTTTAACAACTGAGTTGTAGTCCTGCATGCCTACAACTAGGTTGTTAAATTAATTGGTTTCTAAATGAGGAACTGTATATAGTATAGTAAAATATCTGATACTGTATACTGTTGTCTTGGTCACTTTTACCCAAAGCCAAAAATTAAGGAAAGAAAGATTTAGTTAGCCCACAGTTTGTGGAGGATTCAGTCCATAATCAGCTGGCTCCAAGGCAGGGTGGCAGGGGACTGGGTAACACTTTAAGGCAGCACAAGACAGCAAAAGCAGCAAGAGCATAACAGGGAGAGGTGCAAGCCTCTTTTCTCCTTATATTATATATTGGCTATCTGCTCATGCCCATACCATCTCTATGTTTTCCTCTTACACAGGCTCAGGATGAATAGAAAGTAAGGACCCTGGCTCTCTGCTGAGTCACTTAGTTAACCTTCTGAACTTCTCAAAGTGACACAATGAACAACATCCTACAGCAGCAAGGGCATGTCCTTTTCACCCCGGGGTTGGAGAACTGCTGAGTTACTTAGTCAAGCTTTTAGACTCAAGCTGACACAATGTATCAACCATAACAATCCACCTCTTGTCAATACGCCAAACAGACACATTTTTTAAAACCAGTTTCCAGATAGAAAGACATTATTTTTATCAAAAGTTATTTTACCACTTGAACATTATAACACAGGTTTAATAATTTTTAAAAACCAGTATTAAGTCTATCAACATTATATTACATTAGAGCCATAATATTTTGTCCCCCAAGGACTCAGGCACATCCCTTTATGCAAAAGGCATTTAGTCCATCTGCAACAGCTGCCAAAGTCCTAACAGTTTTACCATTGCTGAAAAGTCGCAAGTACCAAGTCTCCTCAGAGATGTAATGCAAACTCTTAGTTGGAAGACCCTGTACAAATGAAAAGTTACACTTTCAACATTTAATGGCACAAAATAAGCATTTTTATCCCAAAAGTTACAAATGGGAATACAAAGGAATGGGACCAAAGCAAGTCCAAAATACAGTAGGGCAAACATTAAGTCCTGTAGTTCCATGTCCAGCATCTGAAGCAATTTGCTGTACACTGTGAGATCCCAAGGGCTGTGTGACTCCACCCCTGTGGCATTTATGGTGTTTGTAGCTCTTACAGTTTTTCTCTTGGGCCTGCTTTGCTTTCTCCTTGCCGCTTTACATTTTTTTAAAAACCTTTTATTTTTATTTATTTTGTCTTTTTGAGACAGGGTCTCACCGCAATTCAGGCTAGTTTTGAATCCACTTTATAGCCCAGGCTGGCCTTGAACTCACAACCGTCCTCCTGCCTCAGCCTTCTATTTGTTTGTTTTTTTTTTGTTTGTTTGGTTTTTCTCTGGTACCAGGAACCGAACTCATGACCTTGCGCTTGCCAGGCAGGCGCTTTTGCCGCTGAGCTAAATCCCCAGCCCCCCTGCCTCAGCCTTCTAAGTGCTAGGATTACAGCATATGCTACCATGCCTGGCCCCTTGCAGCTTTTGTAGGCAATCTGTTTTGGCTTTTTAAAACTTTTGGTATCTCCAGTGCACCCTTTGCTTTACATTCACAACTTTACATACTGCCTTCTCAGGGGCACACTGCTTGGTCTCTCAGGCCCTTTGAAATCTAGGTAGAAGCCTTTTAAACCTGAGAACTCTTGCATTCTGCATGCACCTAAAACCAGCACCACATAGATGATGTCAGGGTCCACTGCCAGCTGGAGCAGTAGCCAGACGTTTTTTCTCTTGGTTGTAGGGGTCGAGTGCTTGGATTGCTGAGCATTCTGAACCTGATTCTGAGGAACAAATGTTTTATGCTGTCGTTCTGGTGTGGTCACCGCCATTCTGGAACATGGCACTCTGTGGCTTTCTCCTCAATGTCTTTCACCTTTGCAGTTTTGAGGCCGCAAAGCGTGGAGACTTGCTGCTCCTAGTGATGCCCTCACGCCATCTTTTTTATTCTGTTCCTTCAAGATCGTCTTAGCTTTATCTTTGCAGTCCACAGCTTTACTGGAGCTGTTCTTTTTGGCCAAATTCACAAAGTTTTAAATCGCCCTACTGGGCTCTTTGCTCTTGATTCTCAACATAAATCTGGCTAAAAGCCCCAACAATAGCCATGTCACAGCCTCAGTGTTCAACTGCCTTGAAATTTTTTTTTTTTCCTCCAGTACCGGGAACCGAACTCATGACCTTGCGCTTGCCAGGCAGGCACTTTGCCGCTGAGCTAAATCCCCAGCCCCTTGAAATTTCTTCTGTCAGAGTCAGTCCACTGCCCTTAATCTTAGCCTTAGGCAAAGCTTCTGGACAGGTGCAAAATGCAGACACACTTTCTACCAAGCCATAACACACACCATCCAGAGTCCAGCACCCAATGCAGTCCTTCTTCCCAGCAGAAGCCTCCCAAGCCTAGTTTTTACTGGTAGGATTTCCATCAGCCTTTTGGTTGTCTGAGCTCTGACCAGAATCTCCCATACAGAACAGCTGAAGGAGTTCTAGCACTTCTCTTTTAGGCAAAATCTCTGAACCTTTCCAAACACTTCCCACAAACCATTTTCAAAGGCTCTTGAACCACATGATCAGGTATAGTCACAGCAAGGACCCCACTCCTGGTACCAAATTCTGTCACTGCTGAGACAAAATACCCAACACTGAAAATTAAGGAAAGAAAAGTTTATTTAGCTTACAATTTGTGGAGGTTTCAGTCCATAATCAGCTGGCTGCAAGGCAGGGCACAGGGTTAACACTTCAAGGTGGCACAAGACAGCAAAAGCAGCAAGAGCAAAAAGGGGAGAGGAGCAAGTCTCTTTTTTCTCCTTATATTGTCTATCAGCTATCTGCCCACACCCATACCACCTCTGTGTCTTCCTCTTACACAGGCTCAGGATGAACAGAAAGTAAGGACCCTGGCTCTCTGCTGAGTTACACAGTTAACCTTCTAAACTTCTCAAAGTGAACATCATCCTAGAGCAGGAAGAACATGTCCTTTTCACCCCAGGATGTAGAACTGCTGAGTAACTTATTTAAGCTTTTAGACTCCTCAAGTTGACACAATGTATCAAACATAACAACTGTATAGTAAAATATTTGGAACAAAGAAATGGTCAAAAGAAATTGTAACTTGATGACTTGGCTTTTATTTGTATAACTTTCATGGAGCAGTGTAATGTGTAACAGCACATAAAGCTATAGTACTGTAATGTATAGTACAATCAGCAAAAATTACAGTACTGTACAAACAAGGTGTACTGTAGAAAAAAAGACATTGAGGTTCTATAAACAAGATGCACAGAACTGTACAAAATGTAAAAGATGTGTCATAAGTCTGAATAGTGACATTGGTCGTAAGTCTGAACAGTCCTTAAACAAGTACGTTGTTAAATGAGGAATATCTGAATTACAAAATGTCAAAAGAAAAATAAATGTAATTGTTAATTTGAGAGATAAAATCATTTGTGATAAAATTGCTTTTCTGAATGACCATGTATTTATACATCTGTTCCTCACAGTGGTTCTCAGACATGACACAACTGCCCTGCAATGAGGCCTAGGCCTTCTAATAACTACCCTAAAATGCAGGAGAAGGTCTCTTCACTCTGCCATCTCTTTAGAAATTTATGGATTTTTAAGGCAAATCTAAATCTACCTTTGCTATTTCCTTTATGATCTGGTACACTACTAATCACCAAATAAATTATTTCAGGTTCACTTGGTCTGTGTTAATAAAGCAATAAGGCAATAGCAGGGTTACAAAGCTCTCAGCTGGTAATGTTTTCCCTTGTTAATGTCAGAGGAAGTAAAAGATAAAAAAAAAAAAAAAAAAAAAGCACAGGATGACATGATTAGAAGGACCCAGAGAGCCTGTAACTTGATATGGATAAAAGCCCTATTGCCTAAACACAGTTTTAAAAATTACCTGAATCAGAAATAGGAATGTTTTTTCTGGCACAAAAAATTAAAGATGCTTGCAGATAAAACCTGAGAAAGGTTTTAGGGCTAACTTCAAAGAGATATGTGGTAGGTTTTATCTCAAATAGTTTTAAAATTTATTTGCATATGACCACCTTGGAGGCTTTTGTTTTAACCAGAAATTCATTAAATTACTGATTGATTATCTTGACATAAAACCTCCCACTTCTT